CAAGGTGAGCCCCGCGCCCGACCCGCCGGGGGCGCCTCCGCGCTCCGCGTCTGCATCGCGGGGATGTGGGCCAGGCCCCGGCCGGGTAGTGAATTGTGTTCGGCGCGGGCGTTCGAGCCGCGGGCCCTGGCTGCTCCCGGCCGGCCCGGCCTCGAGCGCACTGTGGAGTTGGCCTGCTGGGACCCCCAATTGAGGGTTTCGGATGACGCGGGAGAGCTGCCTAAGGAACGCACGTGGGGTGTTTATGTTGATGGGATGAGGAGGAGACCAGCAGAGACCGCCAGACACACAAAGACCGAAAAAGAGAAGGAAGAGGGTCTGGAGGAAGAAAGACGGGAGAGAAAGGGGCCCAGAACGAGAGAAAAGCGCTGTGAGGCCATGCCAGAGCGCACTCGCCCAGAGGGTGTCAGAGGCCGGGGGAAGACGAGTGGGTAAGGAGAGGAGAGGGTGGCCTCTCCCCAAGCCGGGGCCCCAGGAGCACGGGGTCCCCAGAGTTCCCCTCACCCCCAGCTCGCAGTTCTCCCAGTGTCATCCGACTCCTGTCTTGGGAACAACAGTTGGTGGGAAGCTACGGAGACCGTGTGCGGGGCGGGCGAGCTGGCCCAGGCACGGTGGCGGGGAGGCGTGAGGGGGGGCGGTCTCAGGTCGGCCGGCGGCGTCTTGGGGAGGGGGGTGCAGCTAGGCCAGAATCGTTGGCCATCTTGAAAGTGGGTGCGCACACCTGTATATTTCCATTCGGTGCATTAAAACACGAATCGTTAAACCGGATGTGAAAGGCGTCATTTATGCCGGGGACCGGGAGCGGGCGCGAGCGGGAAGGAAAAAGCCGAAAGGGAGGCTGGCGCAGAGGACGCGGGCGCCTTGGAACCGCCCTTGACTTGGGAGCTGCTTCGTGTTGCGGGTCATTTTCTAGCGAGTGCTAATAATTACCCCGAATCTACAACACCGAGGCGGACTCCGAGGGCGCAAGGCTGCGGCGCTCGGTTCCCCAGGCGCGCCACATCCTCCGCGTCCCTCCAGGCGGTGGCTCAGGGATGGGCGGCCTCGGCCGCAGCCAAGCGCCCCCCTAACCGCCTGTCATTTTCGGCCGCCGCAGGTGTACGCGCCCGAGCGGGACGAGCACGCGAAGAGCGCAGCGGCGGCGCTGGGGCCCGTGGCCTCCTACCTGTGCACCCCTGAGGCCCACGGTAACGCCCCCAGCCCCCTACCAAGGCCGCTAGCCAGTGCACTGAGGGAACCGCAGGCAGAAGGCGGGAGCCAGGGGACTCTAGGAGGGAAGATGAGGGGAGGGAGAAAGAGAGATGGAGAGAAAGGGAGAAGAACAGAAAAATAATAAAAGAGAAAGGAAGCTAAGCGAAAACTCCCAACAGCTTCCATCGTTTGGTTACTTTAAAAAAAGAATCACGCCCTCTCCACACACATGCACACGTACACACTTGTACACTGGGTTAAAACCTTCTTAAAAGCACGCCTGGCAGCCCCTTTAAGTCCTTGCATTTGTACAGCGAGTGATTTCAGCCGCTGAGTCCTCAGCGGCCGGGCCGGGGCGGACGGTGGGGGGCGCTTGGCCGCGCTCCTGGTTGGGGTCTCCAGAAGCGCAGGAGAAGCTGTGGCCGAACGCGGGGGGCGAGCCCCGCAGGTCGGCAAAGGAGGGTCTGGGGGCTTCGGAAATCCCAGCGGGCCGAGGCAGCCCAGCCCAGGAGGACGCCCCCCACCCCGCCCTCGGGTAGGTGTCTGGGCCGTCTCCTCGGTAGCAGGCCGCAGACAGGGCCAGCGGCCACGCGCGCTCGCGGTGCCCCAGTATCTGCGCACGATGTAGGTCGCGCGTCCCTGGTGGGCTCGGCTTCTCGTCTTCCGCTTTTTCGAGAAGCTGGGGGAGGGGGCGCGGAGCCACGAGATGAGCAGAGCCCGTGGGGGCGGGGGGCAGATGGCTGCCGTGCCCAAAGCCTGAGGGTGCCGGTCCGCGCGCGCAGCCCGGGACCAGCGGCGGCCGCTGCGCTTTTAATGAGGGCCCGGGCGCCCAGACCGCGGCAGCTCTGGCGGTACCGTATCGGGGTCACGGATCTTTGCTTCTCCTTCAAACTCCGTTTATTGCCTTTAAGAGCCGGATAAGGAAGACAATCACTCGACCGCCGACGATTTGGAGACGAGGAAATCCTATCCAGACCAAAGGAGTATCTCCCAGCCAAGTCCCGCAAATACAGACCGAGGTGAGCCTCAGGGTCCCTCCTACCCCATGCCCACCTGAGAGCAGGGGCCTGGAACGCCCAGGTTCCCAACTGCTTGCGTGGAAGGCTTTCCATCAAGCGGCTGCGGCTGCCTGTCGCCTTCTGCAGCCGGCAGAGAAATATTTAAATAACGCGGGCGAGGTGCAGAACCAGGTTTCCTGAGTTTTTACCCCCTTGATGCATTTGGGGCTGTTCTCGGTAAGGGAAGGGGGGTATTAAAAGGAAATGAGGCATACCCTCACCTTTATAAAACAGGTCCAAGGGCACTTCCTGCCCTAAGGTAGCCCAGAGCCGTGTTCCCTTGGCTCAGAACGCTAGGTGAAAAGGCCGCTTTCAGAAGCCTAAGAATGATGGTTTGGCAGGTGGGTCGTGCTGGATGCCTGCAGCTGTCTCCCCTAACGGCGGTGGGTCTGGAGTGGGTCCCTGGTTTAGCACAGTCCCGGGAAGCTCACCCTTCTCCTGCCAAGGCCTCTCCTAGGAGCGCAAGCCGTCTTACCCGCTCTTGTATCCCAGGTGAAGAGAGCCTCACCCTGGATGTCACGGGAACTCAGCTAGTGGAGAAGGATATCGAGAACCTGGCCAGAGGTGAGGTTAAGTCTGCGAAAGGGGGGTTACACTGTGCTTGAGACTGGGAGACCGGCCTCCCTGCAGAGGGGGTGTTATTCCTGTAGGGGGTGAGTGTGAGAAACACCCGCTCTTGGAGGGACCAGTTTTCACTGAGTGGAAAAGATAATCCCGCAGACACATTATCCTGGTGCAGAGGTGTGAGTGTGTGGGTAGGGGGTGGGGAGGTGCTAGCCAAACCCCCAGCATGGCCCAGTGAGAAAGAAATGAGCAATGACTCTCAGAACTGATATAAGTGGGCAACCAGACAGGACATCTGGCCAAATTCCCTGGAAAACATGACTTTTCCTTAACAGCAAGATTGCAGGAGGCATTTATTATAAAGAATGAACAAGATTAATTTCTTCCTGGAATTAATGCATAATCCTCCCCCACTCTAAATGGGGTGAGGATAAAGGCTTGTTTGCAGAATAGGATCACGGGGTTGCTGCTCATCCTGCAAGGGGGAGAGTGTGGCTTGAGGCACAGGAAGGGAGCCTGCAACCCCACTTTACCCGGTTCTCTCTCATTCCTGAATTTTTCTCAGAGGAGCCCCCTCCCAGCCCTCCAGAGCCGGTTTGGAGGGCACAGATAGGCCCTTTGGCACCCAGCTGCTCTCCCCACTTTCAGCCCAAGGATGGACTTGGGAACTGGTGGGAGAAGAAGAGGAGCATTGGCGATCTCTCACTCTCTCCTGTTACAGAATTTGTCCATATGCCCTTACCTCCAAAATCATTGGTGCTTTATATGGGGGTTCTTAGCCTGAATTTGGGGGTCCAGGGACTTCCTGAAATTGTAGGCAAGCTCTTGTGAGTGTGTGTATTTTTCCAGGGAGGGGGTCTGAAGCTTTGACCAGAGTCTCAAAGACATTGGGTACTTCTCCCTTTGTATTATTGAAAGGAGGGATTAGGTCCGTCCTTTGAAGGGGGAAGAGTCCTCCTGGGCCAGCCTCTAAGGTTAGGGAGTTAGGAAGAACTTAAAGCAGATGCCACATGGGGAAGAAACAGGGCCAGGAGCCAGTGGGTGCTCCCTGATCTTGGATTGGATTCTTCTGAGCCACCTCCCCCTCCCAGCCTTGCTTCCTTCACAAATCCTCCGGATGCCAGCGGGAAAGCCAGAGTGCTGAGGGTCTCTGCCCAGGGCTCCCACCTCTTTGCTGCCGGCGATTGCTCAGGCTGGGCCTGGGCGCCTCCCGAGCCCTCTGAGGCCCTCAGCCCCATCTCCCCTCCTCGCTTACCTCCCACTCTCGCCCCTCCACAGAAGAATTGCAAAAACTCCTTCTGGAGCAAATGGAGCTCCGCAAGAAGCTGGAGCGGGAATTTCAGAGTCTCAAAGGTACCCCCCGTCCAGCCCCACCCCACCCCACCCCACCCCAGCTCACCGCGCGAGCCTTCCTCCCGCCCGGCGACCCGGGCGCAGGCAGCTCGCGCTGTGCGCCCTGCGGGAGCCCCGGAACCCTCCTTTTCCCGAGTTTCCCGGGAGGCCCATGGGGAGGAGGTGCGTAGTGGGGAAGAGGGGCCGGGGGAGGGGGCTGTGCGTAACAGCTCTCACTTAATCAATTTGCACAGATAATTTTCAGGATCAAATGAAGAGGGAATTGGCTTATCGAGAAGAAATGGTGCAACAGCTGCAAATTGTCAGAGGTAAGACGACAGTCAGGTGAGCACGTGCGCGGGCCGTAACTGCCTCTCGTCTGCCAGGAGCCGCAACGTTGGCTCAGTCATTTGGATTTAAATTGAAGGTAATTCAACAATTATTTTTTTTATTTAATATCCTTTGTATACTCTGATTAGCCTCAGAATGGCAAGCGAGCCCAGCAAACGGCTTGCAGGCATCGTTCCATGGAGTGATTGAACTTCTTATCGCGGCAATTTCCATGGTTTCTAAATTAAAAATCGAGGCGTAAAATTACCTGGGAAGTAATGCCTAAGTTTGCTTTAATTTTGGTTAGCTCCGTCTGCCTTTAAGCGCCATCTCAGGCCATTTCCTCCCTCCACCAGGCTGCAGTTTGGAGCGTCGGTGTCTCCCCCCACCCCCTCCCGCCCACCCACCCCTTCCCCCCCCCCCCAGTGGATTTTGCGCGCGGCTGAGGCCTGGGAAAGGGTGAGGCCCGGGCTGTGACCCTGGCCTGGCTGGACGGGCGCCTATGTCTCCTCACCGGCCCCTCCTCCTGTCTTCCAGACACCCTGTGTAACGAACTCGATCAGGAGCGGAAGGCGCGCTACGCCATCCAGCAGAAATTGAAAGGTGAGGAGTCCGGGAAACAGGAGGGGTGATAGGTGGTGGCTGTGCAGGTGAATGAATGAATGAATAGCGGGACTAGTGAGAGGGAAGACCAGGGTCTACCTGATCATAAGCCGAGAAGAGGTAAGTGGGAACTGATTTTAATGGGGAAATAATTCTAGAACGGTGGGATAAGGAGAAGAGCCCCTTGAGCTCCCGGCATTGGAAAATCTGCCTTTTTGGTCCCATCCCTGGCCTTGGGCAGGTCAATCCCTCTCGTTGTGCCTCGGTTTCCTCTTCTGTAAAATGGGGCTGTTGAAAGAGAGCAGTGGTTCTGTACACGGAGACAATCAGAATCTCCAGGGTCTCTCTCCTACCCTGTTACCTCCTCCTGATCCGCTCGATTGAGAACCCTTGAGCCCTAGAAGAGTGTGTGAGGCCGGGATAGGCAGGGGAAGAGGGCGGGTGGACATTGCAGGCGAGGCCGGCGGGCTGGGCCCGACGTGGTCGGTGCGGCTGTCTTCCCAGAAGCCCACGACGCCCTGCACCACTTCTCCTGCAAGATGCTGACGCCCCGCCACTGCACCGGCAACTGCTCCTTCAAGCCCCCGCTGTTGCCCTAGGGCCGGCCCGGCCGCGCCCACGCGCCCTCAAGCCATGCTGCTCCGTTCTTGTAAATACCCGCGGCCGCGGAGGCCCAGAGCGAGGAACAAGCCATTCAGATCGGACCGATGTAAATACGGCCTCCCGCCCGCCCCTGTCCCGGGCGCCCTAGCCCAGGGCCCCAGCTCCGTTTCCAAGTGTAAATACCGCCTTTCCCCAAGGTTGAACTCCAGGACATCGGCCCTCAAGGGTTAACTGGACAGAAGAGGGGAGGAAACGGGAGAGGGAGTCTCTCCCCCCCCCCCACGTTGTACCGCCTTGGACCCCGGAATGGTGAATACAATGTAGCAACTTTGCTGGCGCCCGCCCCGCGCTCCCCGTCCTGTCCACTTCTGAACATGTTCCTAATGACAAAGTGGCTATGTGCAATGGATATAAATGTACTGTGAGTCTCTTGGTTCAGTATTGGATTCATTTTATTTATGCTGTAAGTTATTTTGCTTCCCCTTCTGGACCTACTTCCAGTCCCGTTTTGCATTCCCTCCCCCTTTGGGCTTCGCTTTGTTTTTTGTTGGAAATTCTTGATGTCATTAACAGCACTTTAAAAGGGCGACAACCGACTCACGAGATGGCGACCACCTTGAGCCTGTTCGGGGAGACCATCCTGTATCCGTGACTTTGTTTTGTTTTTAATAAAAAAAAAAAAAAAAAATGTCACTTCCTGGAGGGTGGAGGTGGGAGTACGCAGGTGCGGGGGCCCGGAAGCCGGCTGAGGGGGGCGCAACAGGTGGGCGTGGGGACCGCAGCATGGATTCTGGGGCGCCCTGGGTGAGGCGAGGGCAGGGAATTCCGCCCCGTCATCTGGGGCCACAGAGAGGAACCCAGGCCCGGGCTGGGGATCAGGTCTGGGGTCTACCCCGAACTCCAACCGCGGGCCCCCTCGCTCCTCTCCGGGGTGGGGGCGAGGCTCCAGCCTGCTCAGGTGGGCCGCAGCGAGCTCCCAGCCCCTCCAGACACTCAGTTTGCCCCACAGGCAGCCCCCTCCCCGCCTTCAGCATACGGATCCTCCCTTGGACCTTTTCCGTGGGGCTTATTCCCTTAGTCCTCTTCCATGGAGCCCTCACCAAGGCCAAGAGTTCTTTCGTGTCCATTTCCACGCCTGCCCCACGGGGAAGTCATCCCCGGAGCGCTCAAACATGGGGCCCTGTTTTCTGAGAGCACGGAATCCCGGCGGTTGAACCCAAAGTTGCCCCTCCAAGAGGCGTGGGCACCGCAAGCTCGCAGGATGAGAGGCGGCCCTACAGGCCGGGACCGGAGGGCGAGCCCCGCGCTGGTGCGCAGCTGCCCGAAGGGAGGGAGCCCTGGAGAATTTTCATGTTCCGCCCACTTTAATCCGAGCGGGTTCTAGGACGTGGAGGAACCCAGGGAGGAGTTGAGGCTCGCAAGCTGACCGCAGGTGCCCGGCAGCCGCGCGGGGCCGGGCCTGGGGCAGGGAGCAGGCGCCCGCGCTCGCCAGCCTCCGCGCGGAGCTTCCGGAGCCCAGGAGGCGGGGCGTGAGGCCCCACCCTGCCACGGGCCTCCCATCGGCCTCAGTTTCCACAGCGAACCTGCTAGCTACAGATAACCGACGTAAACTGCAAAGCACTTGGCGGGTGGGCAGGAAAGTGTGATGGACTGGGGAAGCGCACGGTACTGGGAATCATTCACCCCTGGCTGCCGATTTCGCCCCCTCCGCAGACTGGCAGAGGTGCGGTGTCGCGCCCTTTAAGCTCGGGGCCTCCGTCCTGGCTGCGCTGGGCGGTGCTCTGAGAGGTGAGCAGAGCGCGGGGCGGCCGCGCGCCCCGACGGCCGGACCCTCCGCACAGCCCCGGTGCCCTCGCGCTTCGCTCCGGGCGGCGGTGGGGCGCCCCCGGCAGAGACCCTGGAGGCGGCCATCGGAGAGCCGGAGCCTGGGGCAGCGCGGGGCGGGAAGTGTCCTGGAGGGTCGTCTGGGGAGGAGCCCGCCGCTCCGAGCAGGAGACCCACAGCCGAGGCTGGAGGCCATGCCAGCGCTTCCTATGCTGGCACTCCGAGCCCTCAGGTCCCGGGGTGTTCCGAGGGCTTGACCCGGAGAGACCAGAGGGAACAGGATGGCGGTGCGGGCGCCACGTAAACTGTGAGGCCTCGCGCGACAGATGGAGTCGCTACGGGACGCGCGATCTCCCGTGGGGGTGCTTCCAAGGAGTAGGGACGCTTCATCTGGGTGGGACTAACCGGACAGCTCTCCACTGTAGCAACCGGGAAACTGAGGCCCAGCGAGGAAGCAACTTTAGTCTCTGGGAGTGCCGGGGCCGGCGGAGCTGGGACGAAGGCGGGGCAGCGCGGGTGCTGGAGATGGCACGCGCCTTTTCCTCACCGGGGAACCGCACTTTTGGGAGCCGCACTCTGCTCTGTAAAATGGGATTAACAGTTACCACCCAGGCAGGAAGTTCGCGGCTGCGGCCCACACAGAGGAGCCTAGCAAAAGTTCGTTCCACCCTTACTTGCCGAATTCCCCGAACAAAGTGGAGAAGAACACCGCAGGCAGTCGAGGCCCGCCCAGAGGGGCGCCGCGTCTGGGCCGGATCTCTGCAGATTGGGGAGTGGGTGGGCGGATCCGACCCAGGGAGCAAAAACCCTCTTGTGCTCTGCGTCCCTTCAGAAGTGGTTTGTTCTCCCCCAAACGTTAATAACCAAACGATTGGTATGGATGTAATTATCAGTAATTATACGAATTATTGCTGATTGCGGGGCTCGTAGCTACTTTAATTAGTTTACCAGATTCTAATTAAGTTAAATGAAACATTAATAGGGAAAATAAACTTCGGAAAAAACCCAGGATTTTGAAAAAGCATATTTCTCGCCACAACGTTGCCACCTTGCGACGGCTTTTAGGCATTGCAGCCAGTGTCCGAAGGCCCCAGGCTAGGGCGTCTTGGCTCTCAGGGAGAAGTAGGACCTGGGGAATTGGGAGGGGGCCATGGGGCACAGAATGTCCTCCGGGCTGTTCTCCTGGGGTGTCTGTTGGGCGCCCCTGACTCGGCGGTGCCGACAGGAGGTTCGGCCCTGATCCAGAGCCCAGCCCGAGGTCCTGGGGTAGGGAACCAAGTCAACACGCCACTTCGATTTCCGCCTGCTTTTTCACAGAGTAACCCCGGCCCCCACAAAGCGAGACGCGGAGGACGAAACGGACTGGTCTCTATCCTCACCTCTTCCAGCAAATCCAGGGTGAGAGAAGGAGCGAAGTTGGAGATGCTGGTGGAGTCAGCATCAGGTTGCTTTATTTTTCACTCTCCTGGGAGAAACCAGTAAGCCGCTCCCTCCCCTCCATTCCCTCTGCAAATCGGAGTCACCTGTCGGCAAAAGACGTCCTGAAGCACCCACCCCACCCTGGCTCCCCGGACAGAGGTAACTTTCCCTCCTCCCGCGTTCTCGCGGTACTTGGTTCATGAGGCTAGCAGGGCACTCACCTCCCTGAGTTAGCCTTGGGTGTGTGTGTGTGTGTGTTTCCCCAGGAGTGTAAGTACCTCCGCGACAGGACACATCTTGTTCTTCCTGTGACCTCCCACACAGGGGCCAGCACATCACAGGCGCTCAACAAACGTCTAGGTGAATGGGTTCCAACGCTGTGGTTCATTCGGGTGCTGGAAATGTCTGAGGGAAGTAATTCCTGGGTGCTTCTGGATAACAGCTACTAAGAAGCAATAAATCTCATTTGCATAAGGTTAATTAAGTGCAGGCTTTCTGTTCAGAAGATTCTTCCCAATAGGATTAGTTTTAGGGGGCAGGTGACAGATAAATGATCTTCAACCTGAAACAGGAAAACTTCCTTCATGTTCCAACTGCCTCCCAAAGAGGGCGCTCTCTGAGTCCCTCACATTTTGCAAGCTCACCCTGCACTTACCTGTGTACCTATTCCCAGCTACCCTGCTCTGACATATAGGGACTGTCTTAGCCATCTAGTGCTGCTATAACAGAAATACCACGGGTGAATGGCTTTCACAAAGAGAAATGTATACTCTCACAGTCTAGGAGGCTAGAAGTCCACATTCAGGGTGTCACCTCCAGAGGAAGGCTTTCTCTCTCTGTTGGCTCCAGGGGAAGGTCCTCGTCATCAATCTTCCGTGGTTGAGGAGCTTCTCATGTTTCTTGGTGGTGTGAGGTCCCCAACTCTCTGCTTGCTTCCCTTTCCTTTTATCTCTTGTAAGATAAAAGGTGATGCAGGCCACACACCCCGGGAAACTCCCTTTACACTGGGTCTGGGATGTGACCTGAGTAAGGGTGTTACCTCCCACCCTAATCCTCTTTAACATAATCTAATCTTGCCTCATTAACCACAGGCAGAAATTAGGATTTACAACACACAGGGAAATTACATCAATCACAAAATGGAGCACAACCACACAATACTGGGAATCATGGCCTAACCAAGTTGACACATATTTTCGGGGGACACAATTCAATCCATGACAAGGACCTTTTGCAAAAATGCCATTCCTGCCTTTGAATTCAGAACACCCACAAAAGCAGAACTGGTCTTGCCTGCTCTTTTCATTACTCCTGAACAGCCTTATCTTCCTCTCCCTACCCCTAGCCGAGTCATAGGGTTTGGTTAGGAGCACAAATTCTATAGTCAGATTTCTTGGGTCTTAATCACTGCTCTGTCATTGACTAGCTGTGTGACAGTGAGCAAGGTGCTGAATCTCTGTGCCTTAGCTTCCTCATCTATGATATGAGGAAGATAATAGCACCCTCTTCATGGGACGGTTTGTGTCTTAATGGCTTAATGTATGTAAAGCACTTAGAACAGTTCCTGGCAATAAAAAGTGCTAATATATTGGTGTTTGCTAAGAGTACAACTCTCTTTGGGTTCAGTTTCCAGCCCTGAGACTCAAGACAGGAATGCTTTTAAAGAGTCCTTTAATGGGCAGCCTGTGGCTCTCTGCGGCTCCAGAGGCCCAGGAAAGGGGACAAACCAGTGCTTTTCAAGGCTTGGACTTTT